AATTTATATTCTCAACAATTTCTATATGACTACAAAAAGAAAAACAGTGGTTTATTCTTAGACCTTTGCAAGGTTGATAGCATTGGTAGATAAGATCAGCTTCACATGTAAAAATCGGCCAATCACGATCTTCCAAAATCAATGAAATCAGCACCAATAAATCGGTGCATCCCTAATAATTTGGGTTCTGTCTCCCAAGCTGAAACAAAAAGGTTTTAATCTCCTGGTCCGTCTCTGTTCAACCTGTAACCTGTGATCATGAGATATAATTGACTGAAAGACTGAGATCCAAGAATTTGAATGTTGTTTCCTCCTCAGTGAGGCTGGCCTCTCATCCAGACAGAGATCAGACTGGAGTTGTTGCTTTTCTGCAATGAAACTAGTTTTACCTACATGGCTGCTCAGCCATCTTAGTGAAAATATCCAAGATCTTTTCTCTGTATGATTATTATGTTTAGATTAAAAGTTAGATCAAAATACAAACAGTAAATTCTTCCAGAGTCTTTCAGCTTCTCTATTCGAAAGCAAACCTTTTCCAGTTTGGCTAAAACGTTCATTTGGTCTCCAGACAGGAGCAGAAAACACTAAAATAATGATTAAATAGAGGCAGAAGTAACGTTAAGCTCCAGAAACCTGAAATCAGTGAAATATGATTAAATGTTTACAGTTTTTAAAAATAAACTCAAGCTGAAGGTTTGAGGACATCAGAAACGACTCCTCCCCCTAAAGCCTTATAAACTTTGATAAAACTGTGTTTTATTTACAGTTTTTCCACCTAATCTAATTAACTTTCCTTGATCATTTTACACTGTGATGACATTGACTGACCTTGGTGTGTTGAGCAGAACAGCAGTGAGGTCAGAGCTGAGGAGAGAAGACAGTTAGGTTATAGTTTTATATTCAGTAAATCATCAGACTGGATACATAAACTGTATAACTGCAGAGCATTTAGTCAACTTTCACCAACAAACTCCTGTTCTCTAGAATCAATCACCTAATTTAAGCTGTTATAAAATAATAATAATTTACTTACTCAGACACAGAAATGATGCTTCCATTGTCATGTTGACATATAGATGAAATGGTATCTTCTAAATGAACCTCATCATGCTCTGCAAAGTGAAACCACTGTGGTTTCCTCTATGCTGAAGGCGGAGCAGAAACTGTATGTCTGACATGAGACATGTGAAGCAGGGAGATAATAATGTATCAACAAAATAACAATATATTGATCTTTGACTGGTAATCTACACATCCTGAACCAACACAGACTGAATGTTACAAAGCCAGACTCTTTGTTCTGCCTCAGTTTTACGTCCACCAAGGGCAAAACATATTTGAGGACATGAGACAAGAATGAGGGTTCAAAAAAACATTTTATTCTTAAACTCTCTTGAACTTTGGCTTTTGGTTCAGCTGCTTTTGATTTTCTGTGAAGAAAAAGAGAGTTAAATGTCCTCAGTTTCCTGTGTCACCCCAAAAAAGAAAAAGAAAAACCCAAAAACTATTAACAGAAAGTTGGACCTGGTGAGCCGATCAAACAGAACAAAACTGTACAGCAGGGGACCGACCCTATACAGGGCCATGGAAGCCCCTACTAGTACCAGACTAAAGCAAAAAGAACCTAATGCAAAAGAAAGATCGAAACCCAGACTATTTACAGGCGGACCAACAGCGCCACAAATTAACGTAATCAAATTAATTACCAAAAATAAGAAATTATCCAGACTTCAAAATATATTAACAAAAGGTCATTCAACTAAAGTCTATAAAAAAACAAAGAAAAAATAGACAAAAATTATAATGTGCCTGAAGCACATAACACTCAATAACTCCAGGTATCATCATCTATCTGTCTGTGGACTATAACATTCTATGTTTCATGGGCCGACTGCTCTTTATGGACCAAAGTCCAGTCCACAACAAAAGAAGGTAGAAGTTATTTGTAGGACCAAGGTGTGATTTGAGTTTAGGTTTGGTTTGGGTTTAGCTGTAGAACTTCAGTTTATGGAACTTAAGTCAATGGAAAGACCCTGCAAGGATAAAAACAATTTGTGTGTG